TGCTCGGCCCCATACTGCTGGTGTCACTCAATCGTTAATTCGACAGTTTCATTGGGAGCAGTTCGATCACCCGCCGTACAGCCCGGACTTGGAGCCGTCCGACTTCATGTTCCTGCACATGAAGCGCGAGCTTGGTGGCAAGTGCTTTGGATCTGACGATGACACGAAAAATGCTGTGGAGTCGTGGTTATCGAAACTGGTGGGAAGTTTCTTTGATGATGGTATACAAAAACTGGTCACCCGCTATGACAAGTGTTTGATCATTGGCGGAAACTATGTTGAAAAATAGTTTAAGACATGTATTTTCATGTAAAAATAAAATTGGATTTGAAAAAATTGTTTTACTATATATATATTTTCAAAACGGTACTTAGTTTCCGAATACGCCTTGTATTTCATATTACATCGTGATTTTTTATCCGTTTTCAAAGGATTTTTTTTTTAACTGTTTTATCCTTACAGAAGAGAAAAACTTTCTCAGTTAAGTAAGTATTCCTGTTAGTTGAATGCCAGATCATCAGGCTTTTACTATAGTTTGATTTTATGTGAAATCTATACTCATGGCATATGTGTAGTTGTTTTGAAACATGATTTTATCCAGGCTTTTTTACTGACTTTTGTTGTTTGTTGCATTTTTCCTTGTTGCATAAAATGTTGCATTTTTGATTTTATCTTTCATTTCAGTTGATGATCTCATCTAAGAAATGTGGATTTCTGTATCTTTTGGATTAAGGAACTGTATCTTAATCACTTGTGATTAAGACAACGTGAAACTGTGTAGCACTAAAATTATTAGATTTCAGACTATGTATTTATGTATTGTGTTTTTGATAATTCATAATTAAAATTTTTAATTTAGAGTCTTTTAGTCAAAATTCCTTAAATTCTACTTGCACTAACATAAAATTTATAATTTTTTGTTATTAAAATTTGAAAACTTCACACTGTTGAAATTTTTAGACAGTTTTTCTCCATATTGAAAAAATTGACATATATATATATATATACACAAAACTTCATTTGTACGAGGGCAATCCCAAAAAAAAAAGGTCTCCTATTTTTTGGGGACGTGGAGAAAGTTTTAATACGGTTGTTGGCAACACTGTTGTGAGTGGTGCCTTCTCCGCTACCACATAAGCACGCAGGTGCTTCGCTCGGATGCTCAGTCTTGGCTTGGCAGCCATTCGAAATGGAGCTCCCGATAAAGGTTACCGCCAAATGCAAAGTGTGCGGAGTTATTCGATTTTTGAATGCAAAAGGCGTTAAACCGGTTGAAATTCACCGCCTATTGACAGAAGTGTATGGACAGTCGTGCATGGATGTCAAAAACGTTCGCAAGTAGTGTAGAGAGTTTACAGCTGGTCGTACTGAAATTCATGACGAAGAAAAGAGCAGGAGGCCATCAATTGCCGACGAGACAATCGCGAAAGTTGAGGAACTCATGCGTAAAGATTGGAGGATCACTCTGGATGCTCTCTGCATTTTGGTTCCTGAGGTTTCCAGAAGCACCATCCACAGGAGTTTAATGAAAAAGTTGCAGTATCGGAAGGTGTGTGCAAGATGGGTGCCACGCATGCTGACAGAAGACCACAAACGGCAACTGGTTGATTCTTCCCGCGAATTTCTTCGCCACTATGGAGACGAAAAGGACAACTTCTTGGACTCAATTGTCAGAGGTGACGAAACCTGGACATTCCACTTTACACCTGAGACAAAACAACAGTGGCGGCATCTATCTTCGCCCAAGCCACGAAAATTCAAGCAAACACAATCTGCCGGTAAAGTCATGGCAACTGTGTTTTGGGACAGGAAGGGGATACTGTTGGTCGACTTTCTGCCTGCTGGGACAACAGTCAACGCTGACAGGTACTGTGAAACACTGAAGAAACTCAAAGGGCAATTTAGAACCGGAGAAGAGGGATGTTGAGCAAGGGTGTAAGCATTCTTCACGACAACGCCCGTCCTCACGTTGCCCGTCAAACCGTCGATCTCCTGCAAAATTTTGGTTGGAACATTATCACACACCCATCCTACAGTCCGGACTTGGCACCCAGCGATTTCCACCTGTTCCCTTAGTTGAAGGAACATTTGTCTGGATGGCGGTTCTGCTCCGATGATGAGGTGAAAGATGAGATCCAACGCTTCCTGAAGGGCATGCCGGCAAGCTGGTATGACATGGGCATTGTAAAACTGCCACAGCGTCTACAAAAATGCATCGACCGAAATGGCGATTATCTTGAAAAATAAAGCATTCTTCAATCTTTAAAGTGATGTAGCAATTATACAAAATTAATGGTTCTTTGTATATCTAAAAATATGGGAGACCTTTTTTGGGGGGGGATTGCCCTCATAATAAGAACTATAAATACAGTTTTGATGTTCAAAATAAATTTTTCTCATATTCATTTATCATAATCAATAGCTCTCTAAAGATTATGAAATAAAATGCTTTTCATTTGTATAAGGGAATAAATATTTTCCTTTTGTTGAATAATTTGAAAGAAGAAAAACGCTAGAGTGTGCTGATTCCTGCATTGTTGTAGAGAGATAATAAAGGTTTGTTTCTGTTAAAGGCAGTGGCCTAAAAGTACACTCTGTACATAGTTCATTAAAATATCGTTAAAAATGTAACAATTTTGTGAATGACTGAACCACCGTCACCTCATCTAGAAACTCATTTCTATATGGTGCAAGCGCCATGAAGTTAGGACTTTGGAAAGCTTTTGTGTTCACGAAGAAAAAATATGGATTAAGTAAACATGGATTGAACTGATCAACTTACGATTTGGATTAAAAATGGAAAGTTCATATTCAAGGGACAGTGGAATTCCAAATTAAGGTAGGAAAATCTTAAATTAATTACTTTGTGATTATTTGTGGTAAATTAGCTAATCTTCCATATAACCGGGGTAAGTTAGGGCCAAACTGCTTTGGCCTTCAAAATATGGTGAATTTTTGGCTGCGGTGAGAGCACTAAGATGTGATGTTTAAACATAAACAGAATAGTATCTTTTAAGTTTTGCAGTATTGAAATGCCATTATTTTATGTAAACAGAATAGTAAAATAAGATGATAAAATGCTAGACAAGTAAAACAAAAGTCCATCAGCCTTGCAAGTAAAAACATGGTAAAATTGTTCTATGTAAAAAATCTATGTAATTCACGATAAAATAGTATAATGAATAATAAATTGTATTACACTTTCCTCGAACTCCAAAATTGTCAACCAAGTAAATATGTTCAAATTCACTAATAATGGATGCATCATAAAATCACTAAAATATACAAGTTACTATCGTCCTGGAATTCAACACACTAAACAACTTTCATTCAAAACTTTAAACATTCCACATCTTTCGATTGCCACATGCAAGAAACAAAATTAAATAGTAATAATTAAATGACCTGGAAAGCATTAATTAAATAAAATTAAATGAAAACATTCATAAATTAAAAACTTCACATTATCTGAAATAAACATTCTCTCACCAACAACAGCTTAACCTTATGCAAATAATAAACAGTAAAACTTTTAAAAAGAAGTATTTCAAAATTAAATTAAAAAGAAAAATCGGCTGGGTACACTAAACTCGCACTCTTACAAGCATTGATATAAAACTCTAAGTTTGCCACAGGAAAACTTAAACATAGAAAATGCCATGGTTCGTGAAACAAATATTTATTTACTGAGATACGCAGAGTTGCATACAGAGAAATACAAGCAAGGAGAGTGAAAACGTTTACAGGGGTTATATATTTAACTTTACAAAAGATCATGATTTAACAAATCATAAGCAAGACACAATAAATAACCAATCAAAAATAACATAAAGAATGGGATTAAGTTTCAGAATAATTCGGACCTGACTGAAAGCAAATGTATGTACCGGATGTGACAGACAGAAAGCTGTACTTCCTTTTAACCAGTAAGAATGCGATTAGAAATATCTCAACACTCCCCCTTAGTCACACATTATACAAAACATAAAAGAATTACACAATTTTTAAACAGCTCAATAATAACAGTTAATAGAATTTTTGTTTTGGACAAAGCCTTAGTTAACATATCTGCAATTTGTAAACCTGATTGTACATATTCAATTCTAACATTATTTTCCTTAACAGTCTTACAAGTGAACTTTAATTTTATATCTATATGTTTCAACCTACCTGAAAAGTTTTCATGAACAATACATTTGATATGTGACTGGTTATCTTCAAAAATATAAACATTTTTAACACTGGAAATTTCATTTACTACATTTTTTATCAATAAAACATATTGAATACCTTTACATAAAGCAATTATTTCAGCTTATGTTGATGAAAGTGCAATACACTTTTGTTTGTTACAGCACCACATAATAGGACAGTTTAAAAACATTATAAGGTAACCAGTAATTGATTTCCTATCTTGAGTATCTCCCCCCCCCAATCTGCATCTACATACAAACATAAGTTTGCCCTTTCCAAATCACCCTTTTTGTATATCAATTTTAAATTTAAGGTGTTTTTAAAGTACCTAAGAATTCTTTTTAAAGCACACCAGGCAACATCAGTAGGATGCTCCTGCAGTTGGCTTAAGCAATTTACTGCAAATGAAATATCTGGCCTTGTAATATATGCCAAGTAAAGTGAAGATCCAATTAATTTTTTGTATGGGCCATGAAATGCATTTCCTTTCTGAAAATCAGCTGCTGTAGATTTTGGTTCAATGGGAGTTTGGCTGTTTTACAATAAAACATTTTAAATTTATCAAGTAATTTTTCAATATATGTTTTCTGATCTAAATATAAACAACCAGACTCAAATTTCAGTCTAATGCCTAAAAATTCTGAGACTCTTTCAGATTTTGACATTTGAAATTCATTAGATAACAATGATATTATATTTGTTTCTTTTGCATCCGAACCTGCAATTAATAAGTCATCTACATAAAGAGCCATAATTACTTTCTTACAATTTAGATTTCTGATAAAAATAGATGATTCAGAGTCCAATTGCTTAAAATTTAATTTAATAACAAAATTAAGAAATTTCTGATACCTTTGTCGAGGAGACTGTTTAAGACCATATAAACTTTTTAAGTTTACATTTCTTACCACTCGTATCATCATATCCTTTTGGCTGGTCCATGTAGATAATTTCATCTAACTTACTGTTCAAGAAAGCTGTCTTCACATCTAAAGTAAAAGTTTGCAAACCTTCATTATTAATAATTACCAGGATTAAACATAAAGAGCACATACTAATCACTGGGGAAAACATGTCTGTATAATCTATGCCTTCCTTTTGCATAACCGCACGAGCAACAAGCCTGGCTTTGTAAGTTCCATTTTGTTTTTTACGTAGAACCCATTAGCAGGAAATGGATCTTTTATCAGGGGGTAAACTTCGTAGGTCCTAGATGTCATGATCTTCCATAGATTTCATTTCCTCGTCCATAGCTCTTTTCCATAGTTCTTGTTCTACTTGTAGTAGATTTACAATATCTTCAAATGTCACAGTGTCTTGTTGTGCAAACATTACTTGGTAAAACTCAGGATTAGGATACCTAACTGGCTGTTTCTTCTGTCTTGAAGATTTCCTTCGTTCTTCCTTCTTATTTGCATTTAATTCGCTGTTGTCAGTGTCTGAAATTGATTTGTCTTCATTGTTGTTTTCACTCAAATCAAAACTATCGAAAGGGTTATCCAAATTAAACTTCCCTAACTCGGAGGCCTGTGCATAGTGTTGTATGGGTCATAATGTGATGAAATTTTAAAAACAGACACTTCAGATCATGCGTTCGAGATTTATTTAAAAAAAAATTAGTACAAGAAGTTGCCGATAGGTGGTGCTGCAGAACAACAAGACATTCTACAGATGTTCTATATGTGTGCCGTGGTTCTCCACAACTCTTTCCATTCGCAAAGCAGTAAGTCCACATTAATTCCACGAACATTGAATAATTGCGTCTTTCAGATGTGCCAAGGTTGCTGGGTGTTCTCTGTAGACCCGATCCTTTAAGAATCCCCATAACCAAAAGTCGCATGACGTGAGATCAGGCGAGTGGGGAGGCCAAGCTGTAGGGAAACAGCGGCTGATCACACGTGCATCGGTAAAAGTTGCCGTAACACCTGTTGAATGCCCCGAAGAATATGGGGAGGTGCACCATCCTGCATAAATATCGTGTCCTGGAGGCGGCCACGTTTTTGCAGTTCAGGGATCACAAACATTGTCAACATGTCCTGATACTGTTTTCCTGTAACAGAGCAGTGTTGGAGTCACCTCTTGAAAAAAATAAGGCCCAATGACGAATGTTGCAGTGAAACCGCACCATACAGTAACCTTTGGAGGGTTCAAGGGCACTTGATGGATTGCGCGCAGGTTTTCCCTTGCCCAAATGCAGCAGTTGTGTGTATTCACTTGACCATTTAGGTGAAAATGAGCCTCATCCATCCAAAGGATGTTCCACGGCCAAGCAGCATCGACTTCCATTCTGGCAAGGAACTGCAACGCAAATGTTTCCCAAACTACAGGATCCCCGTCGGACTGCTGATGACGACAATGGATTTTGTAAGGAAAATAACAGGATTCGACGCATCACACACCAGATGGTCGTATAGGGCATATCAACAGCACGAGAAACAGTTGGCACACTGACAACACCATGTGACGATTGGTTAGTGGGTCCACTACCGCCAAAGCAACGTCTTCTATGCGTGCTGATTCCACAACCTGTCGTCCTCTACCAGGTAAAATTCCCACCTGTCTCATTCTTTTGAACTTCTTCATCATGTCTCGTAGAGCGTGTGGTGTCATTGGTCCTCGGTGTAAGATCTTCAGCCGACGGAATGCTGTTTTCGCAGCACAGGAGTTCTCGTCATTCTGGTAGAAAAGTTTTATGAAAAGAGCTTTGTCTTTCAAAGTCGCCATTGTGCATCAGCGAGCTGAAAACAACTGCCTGTGCAACTGATTTCCACTTTTGTAGGGCTAGTCTTTTGGATACGTTGCGCAGAAGCTTTATTTCTGAAAATCACGTTGCTGCAATTTGCACATTACTAGTGTTACAGTGCCACCTATCGGCAACTTATTGTACTATTTTTTTGTGTGTGTAATAAATCTCGAGCGCATGATCTGAAGTGTCTGTTTTTAAAATTTCATCACATTATGACCCATACAACACTCTGCACAGGCCTCTGAGTTGGGGAAGTTTAATTTGGATAACCCTATATATATATGATACAGTCAAAAGTCGTTAATTAGGACACCCATAATTCGGAATGATCTATAATCCGGACCTCAAAACTAAAAACTTTCTGCGCATGCGCCGCGTTGACACATGCGCATAGGCGTTTGCGCGTGCGCGTAAGACCTTTTACGACTGCGCATATGAGTGTGCGCAAGTGCAGAATACGTTTTCGCGTGCGCGTTTTAGTATAATGGACGTATAAGCTAAAATTATCTAATTATCTATTTCAGTTAATGTTGCATGATTGCGTTGTTCCTTAATCTTCGAATTGGATCCGGCTTATTATTTTTTTTGCAGACTGTAAGAGCAATTTTATAAAAGTAAGCTTGAACTTTCGATTATGTCAAATAGAATTTCCGATATATATTTATTAATATGTAAAGGATCTACAAAGCGAAAGTATGTTTTTTGAAATCCGAAATCTGTTTATCAACTTTCACGCTGCTCGGCGGGGGTTTAGGGGGAATGCCGCGTGTAATGAATTGGAAGTTGATCTGTCAGCACTATCCTTATCTTCAGGCAGATGTTTTTATTTTATTTGGCTTATAATTTCCTTTACTAAATGTAGTATTTCATCTCGATGTACTCCGTCTTTGATATGATTTAAATCAAAGTTCCTCGTTCATTATAATTCGCTTCCGATAGCGAAGAAAAGTGACAGAGGTTATTGAAAACGAAAAATTTCGATTGACAAATTAGTCAGTGTTCTGACACAGCAATTATAGGACTTGAACAGCGGAACTTTGTAACTGAACAAGAAATTATGTCTGTTTAATAGAATTAAAGAGAAAGTATTATCACATGAAACGAAGCAAAACTTAAACAACTTACATTGAAAGAAATGTTTAATAAAGTAAACAAATAAATTTACCTCAAGTATCATTGCTCTTTTTCCAGTATAGTTCTATTTGCTCGTTCAGCAACACCACTTAGAAAAGGTGTATAGGGAGGTGCAGGATCTATTTTTACACCTGCTCTTTTAGCAACATCATGCAATTCTCCACTGACATATTCTTTGGCATTGTCACAGCGTAGTTTTGTAACAGTTGGATTCAATTTAAAGAATAGTTTAAGTTCATCAACAATATCACTTTTTCTTTTGAGCAGTCTTATTTCCATAAATCACGAGTAGTCATCAATTATAGTCATGAAATACCTTTTTCCATGGAGTGTTTGAGGTTCTATTGGACTACATATGTCAGTGTGTATAGTTATAAGCGGTTTGGATTCTTTTATGCGAGGACCCTTTCCTATAGGCAAAGCACTTTGTTTGGCACGAACACATACTTCACAAAAGGATTCTTTTGCAGGAAGATTCATTAGTTTTAATTTTTGATCACAGCAGTGTCCTAATCTTCTGTGCCATAAATCATCATTCTTTACTGCTAAAGCTGTAAATAGGTTTGGTGAAAAATCACTAAAATATTGTGCGCATTTGTCCAAATATCCAAATCGAAAACGCTTGTTTTTGTTTCAATGTAAACTATTTCATTTTTAAAAATTATGCTCAAACCTGCTGCTTCAATATTTTTGACAGAAATTGTTTGTCCGTTTAATTTTGGAATGTAAAGAACATCTTTTAACATTATTTCAACACCATTCTTAGTTTTACCGCAAATATCACCAATTCCTTCCACTTCTAAAACCTCCGACTTGGACGCACACTTAACAGTTCCAGTCTTAGGCTTAATTGAGGTAAACCATTCCTTGTGAGAAGACATGAAAAGTTGCACCAGAATCAATAATAAATTGATCATGCACAAGATTTCCAGCCATAAAAGATATTGCAGGGGATGCATACTTATTACTATTTGAATTTGTCTGCTTTTTAGAATTATCAAAACATTCACTTTTGAAATGACCAGTTTTCCCACAGTTATGACAGATGCAGTTCTTTTTTCTACAAAATTTAACAGAATGTCCTTTTCTTTTACAATAAGTACAAAACAATTCTTTACGAGCACTAATAAAAACAGAGTTGTCCGTATTTGGTTTAGAATACTTATTTTCACTTTTATAATCAAACATAAGAGATTCACAATCAATGAGTCTGCTTGTAACAAAATCCAAACTCAAATTATCACTTGGTTGATTTTCTAGTCATGCCTTAACATTTTCACATTC